TAATGTCGATGGTTAGTAGCTAAAAAGAAATTTTGAATAATGTATGTGAAATGTACTTGCCCGAAAATTTAAATTTGATTTGATTAATCACATTCAAAGTTATAATTTAAAATGATAATTGCAATATTCTCGTTTTTCAGGAAAATATACAAGATACATTCTATGTAAAAATTTGTCCCGTTTGAAAAACACATTTTTGATATCAGTATACATTTCTAATATCATAGTGATCTTTTTGCCTGGAGTATTTCAGTACATACATACATAGAAAATTAACACGTCTATCCTTGAAAATTTTCAGGAATTAACGTACAACGAAATATAAAATATAACAAAATATAAAATAAAACTGCAATCAAAGTGTATTTTATTTCATATATTCAATATCAAGCGGTTGAATTCCCAGATCAGTTAAATTCCCAGTCTGACATTTTCAGACACGTCTATAGAGGCGCGGAAATTTTCGAAAATCGAGAAACGGTATACCGAAACGTTCCCCCCAGGAATTTTTCGATCGTATTTAATATCGGGACGCCTACAGCTCTCCAACACAATACGCCGCTCATAAAACGCCGATTACCAATACATCGAGGCATTACACACCATTATTGCAATTCACGTATTCACGATACGGTATCTCATTGTCTCAAGCTATTTATATCGCGACGCTATTTGCGTAGGTCACGGTGATGCACGGCCGAACGAACCGATTAAAAAGCGAAGGTAGCTGCCGCGCCGTGGCCGAGTGCGTGTGCACCGCGAAAAGAATCCAAGGGTGATAAATACTCCGGTATATAGGCGAGGGTAAATCATCGAGGAACCTCTTTCCCGTTCGTGCAGCACGTCCGATGCAATTTAAATATTTAAGCTCATTAGGCAGGCGTAGAATTATGCGGCAAGACTGCGAACGTTTCACGACTTCGATATACCTGGTATTATTGGTGTTTTATGGTACGTTTCACAACTTTGATATACCTGATATTATTGATGTTTTATGGTATTATGAATACCATTAATATTATGATGTTATAGCATTTGTCCAGAAGTATTACTTTAATCGTGGCGATCTGCAATTGAATATTTGCCCCGCAATGTTCAAGTCGCTGGTCTTCGATCAATGCAAATACTTCGATGTTATAACGACGTTATAACGAATGTTATACTACTATTTTACTTTCATGAACATCCGCAATCTAATTATTAGTCACATCCAATTTGACTTTTACTGCAATTAGCGCAGACAATGGAACAAAATGAAACTCGATTTTCCTTTAAGTTTGTTTAAGGAAAACTCCAGTGTCCAATAGGAGAATTCTC